CTTTAAGAGAGGTTTGTTGTACAATTTTATGAAGTCGGGTTTACAATGGTCAGTTGTTTTTTCAAACTCTTGATGGATTGTAAGTCTCAGTTGTGCCCGCTGTTAGTTTACGCTTGTTTTTTTTTCTCATAAGCTTCATTTTAGTAGATTTGTGAAAGTTTGAGTTATAGTTGAGACGTAAGCATCGTTAGTTGCAATACTCTTAAGTTAGCGCAAATGATCGAGGTTTAATTTAAGACTGGTATTTTGCAGGCAGGCGTTGATATAATTGAGTTGTCTCCCGAAGAAGGTTGCTTGCAGCAAAGTTTATTCACTGGTGATGCTGCTATTTGCATCAATGGCACTGCATTGATCACTCGTCCAAGCAAACGTGGGTGTCGCTTTAGTGAAGTAAATTTCTTATCTTGAGGCATTATCAAATAAATGTTATTTTTACATGTACGTCATGTACTTGTAGATATGCAAATTTTCATTGTAAATATCGTTAGAGCTTCAGTTTAATCATATTTTGACAAAAATGTAACTCAGCTATGGCTAAGTTATGTAATGCTTTTGTCGAATGAATAGTCGCATTGTTTCATCAAAATTGTAGATATTATGCAAAATGGCGTAATGAGAATTCATTCCAGCAGTTATTTCGAGAATGCGTAACTATTATATTTATGAATAATGAATGCTTGTTTTCGTTTATCGCTTTCTTGGTCTCAGTGTATTGTAGATAAGCAGCTTGTTAGGCCAACTTTCATGGCAGGTTGTTGAAACGCCAGCTTCAGAACATGGTAAAGATGTCGTTTTGGAGGGTAGTGATGTATTATATACTGGCAGAGAAATATTTGTTGGAGTTCGAAAGAATGGTACCAACATGGAAGGAGCATTGGTAATTTATGCAACATTTGTGTCAAGTTAGTAGAGTCCATGGTTCCCGAACATTCATGAGGGCACTATGAAATTATGAGCGTAATGATAGTTTATTGTTTGGTTTATACAAAAAATTTTGCGTGATTTCTTCAAGAAATAATTGCAGACATGTAGTCTTAAAAACTTTGTTTAGGTAGTAGGTCGAACATTCTCTGATCTAGCTGTGATACCTATCTCTCTTGCTGGGAGTCAACCTTTGAGGCATTACATTTCTTTCGTTTCGAACGATGTATTGTCAGTGTGTAATTGTAAGGAGGCTAAGTTGATTGTACAGGTTCGTGCTTACTTCATGGTTATTATTTTGTGCACAATGATTTTGTTATGTGATCCTTATTCGATGATTTTGCAGTACTATGAGTTTTGCGATTGTGTGTGTTAACGTGGGATAGCTTCTCATTTGGAACTATTCTGTCTTTTTGTCGGTCAGGTCAAAAAAAAATTCTAGTGCAATGTAATCAGAATCGGAAATTCACTACAAATTATTTGTTTTAGCGCATGGAACGTGAAGCGACCTTCCGATATAAAACTCTTACGGTAGAGCATGATGAAGCTGGGAATTGTTTAAGTGTGAACGACAGCGTCATCTATCGGCAAGATGTTCCAGAAACGGTATTTTTGCAAATTTTCTGTCGATCTTTCAGTGATTTTTATAAATTACATTGACTTACTGTATCACAATCGTGAACAAAAATTCTTAGAGCTTGTAATGTTTTCAGTTTGTAACTTTGAGTCCTCTGGTCTCTGATAGCTTCTTGTTTCATTTCTTTCCGATTGCAAATAAGATGACATTTAGGAGCAAAAATGTTTTTTAATCATACATATGCTCATTGCTTTTATTATATTTTTGTTTTCAAATTATTCTATAATCTGATCATTCACAGTCAGCCTTACGTAGTTCCATGACGTAATACGTTTTTTCTTCAGAAATTTCAAGTTCTTCAAGAGCGAGTCCAGCTGATGGGAATAATTGCAAGTGAATTGAGCAAAATCGGTAAACCCATTTCTCGTTTTATTTTGCTCACTGCAAAGATTAATACTCTAAAGTCGCTTTGGTAGTATTTCTAGGGTTATGTTTGTGATTTAGAATACGTGATTTTCAAAACTCTGTGATAAGACTGTGTTTAGAATTTTCTATTTCTATTCCTTACTTGCACAGTTGCTTCCTGTACATAATTAATTTTGCATGACCAAAAATATTCATATACACACAAAAAACCTCTTCAGCTACCTGCATCCTTCGTCATTTTACAAATAGATCAATTTCTATCCTTCAAGCTTGTTCATATTTGCATTTTTATGTGT